ATCGTCTGGGAATCTGGAAGGTACTGTACTTGTCCTTCTAAGATCTTAGGCTCACGTGGGGAACGCAGAGCCGTTTATGATTTCGGTTTCACTGAAGCCAGAAGAATCCATCAGTTCCCTTTTATTATTAGAAGTCTCCTTGGTTCTGCCACGTGTACTTTGATATATGCATCTAAAGATTGCTATCTACGCGTAATCTGTAATATTTAGCTATAATATGATCAGTTGTACCTTTAGTATCTCTTCAGAATAAATACTGAAAGGTCCTTTTTCAGCAGCAGACCCTTCAATACGGTCTCATACCGGACACGTGGATGTTGGGTGGTATCGCCCTGATCGTCATCCTCGTTGTGCTGTTATTATTTATGCTTAGGTACATATCATCAGTGTTTATTTTACATATTGTTCGTCACTTTAATAGTTCCAATCAAATGCGCTTATGAGAAGGTTCTTAACTACAAGCCGTTGCTGGAAATCCTTAGGCTCCTCAGGAGAGATTTTTTCCTGAGTCTGAACCCAGCGCACATGAACAATAGCCTCGCTTGCCACGTCACCATCTTCGCGCCTGGAGTAGAAGTAGCTTTCATGACATATGGGAAACGCGCTTATTTTCCACAACTTCTTACCATCCTATCAGTAGTGTTCCTGGTTTTTAACCCTATTTATCAAGCGAGCGCGGCAACGGTGTAGTGGCAAGTGGCACGCTTACCACGCGAGCGGTCCGGGGATCAAATCCTGGGTCGCCCGGGCCAACCAAGCCTTCCATCCCTCCGGGGTCGGTTAATTGGTACCAGACTTGTCTGGGAGGAAAAACACTGACTTGTACATCGGCTGGCCCCCGCAAGTCATTGTATAGGCCACATCGCATTCAAACGCCACTACGAATGTACAAATGGAAGTAGAATGCGTGCCGCATCCCAAAAAGGGATTGATCAACGGCAAATGCTTTATCCTTTTTTTTATTTATCCAGCGAACGTGGCGCACCCCTACTTGCCCACTTTTTCTACGTGTATTCAAACCTCTTAGATTTACACTAGTTTACTCAAATAACAATGGTGTCTCTTTGCGCTAGTGCTGCAGGTGTTGGTATAAATCTGAATCCTCTCAGGTGTGCGGTATACTATATTCCCCGATGTTTTGGTTACGAAACCACTAATCGACTTGAAGGACCCGGCCATTCCCTCGGAATGTACTCCATGGATCTGCAGGTAAGAAAAAATTTCCAAAGACAGTGGATGCGTTGGCTGAGAGGGAGAGCGGTTTCTACAACATCACTGGTGTTCGTTGATGGAGCGCGTTGGGGGCGTGGTCTGCACCATCCCCAAGGTCAGGGTGAATATCGTCGAGGATTCCTCAACGGCACGTCGAGGATTTTCGCCTGATCATTACGCTCTCCCGCGCGGACATTCACACTCGCCATGCGCGAGCCGTCTGTGCTCTCCGCGCGTACGTTCACTCTCGGCACTACTCTCGCACAGTAGAGCCATGGTCGAGGAATTCCTCGACCGTTATTCACCCTGCCCAACGTTCTTCCGCCAAACACCCAACCACACCATCAAAACTGCTCCGCCTCTCAGCCATCGCACCCACTGCCTTTAATAACAACTTCATCAATCTTTTTTACGAGCCTGAGGTCACTTCCATCATTAACATTTTGGTCATTTTCTTCTCAGATCATGTTGAACATTATGCTTTTTCACAGGCACATGGCAAGAATCAAGGATACGCAAATGTCGGCTACATACATCGGGAATCGGTAACTAACGCATAGACTATATTGTGTATGGAGATATTTGCGCTCCAGCTCATGCCAGTAGAATTTTCTAAAAATGTACTTATATGCGTTGATTGTATGCCTTTATCGGTCTCTACCACGGTAATCATCCACCTACAAATACTCTGAAGGTGACGGGTCAATTGTTGAAATAGTCGTCATTCATGCCAATTTTTTTATTTCATTCCTTTAATCTAGTCGTTCCGTTATAGGAATACTTGTTTTCGCCTAGCTGGATTAAGTGCAGTGCAATGTTTACTCAAGAAACTCAGTTGACCGAATAAACAGTACTGCAAAACCGCTTTCACTTCGTAGTATTCATCTCTTTACGTTTGCTGAACTACGGTATAATCCTCTATTTGTCTTCTATTTGTTTTATTCCAATCGTGAAATAACATTGTATGTCTCCGAAGATTACTACAAACAGCCTCCAAATAGCCCAAACACTCCAAAAGCTCAGGAGCTTTCTTCCAAACTTTTTTTTCTAAAATATTGAGTGCTTAGCGATTTCTTCGGCCTTGAAAAAGCATATTATTATTGTAGCTAGATAAAATCTTATATGATATATTATATTGGAACGATAAATGTGTTAAAAACTTGACGTCTCAACTACGCTCATCACTTAATTTCGAAGTACTTGCAAATTTGAGCTTGTTGGATTTCGGTAGACCTGAGTAATGTAGGTGAGTCCGCAGGCACATATTCCTTGTACCCGGCAGCTGGGAATTCTGCGCTACAGACTGCACAACGTAACTGACGACGGCCTCCAAGTAATTGGTAGTTTGTAGTGATAGCTGAACGATGACATATGCTGCTTGTAATTAGGGACAGTTGATGGAATACAACTGCAGCTGCCTATTCATTTGGTTTTCAAAGAACTGTTACATTTTCTGGATACCGTCGTCGCTTATCATGCGGAGTCTGGGAAGTGGCGCGACCTCTGCACTTGCGGGCTCACTTTGAGCTTTGGGCTCATCATTCTAGGCTATGCCCCCC